GGTCCCAAGATGGGCACCAAAGGGCAGCCACCCCAGGGGTGACCGAACGAAGACTCAGCGTCCCGAGACCATTACTTACCATTTGCAATCGAAGGGTTTTAAAAACTGGGTCTGTCTGGGGCGCCGGCCCTCACTCCACACACACAGGTGCACATGTATGTGCACACATGTTCACACACATGCAGAATATGCCAGAAGACTGAGCCTCCCTTACTTCCCATGTGCCGGGACCGCCAGGTGTCACTGTAGCCGGACAAGGAGACTGAAACAGCACTTAGGAGTGGCATTCTTCTTACAGCTTTTCATGCCAGTTAAGTGATTGTGAATGTCATAATGATTTAAAATGATCAAATTTTGCTTCAGTGAAAATGCCACTAGAAGAAGTGGAAGAGCACACTTTTGAAGACTTTTAGTCCATTAAAAAAATCCCAGCGCTGTTCAAACCCCTGGGCTCCCCAGTGCCCTCTGCGGAGCACTCAGCGCCTGGTCCCCCCGAGGGGAGGGAGCGGAGCCCAGCGCCCACCGCAGAAGGGGGGCTGCACACCCCCGGGAAGATGCAGCAGATGTGGCCACACAGGGTGTGGCTCACGAGAGGCTCTCGGGAGAGGAACCCCGCTGTCATGTGAGTCTTTAAGGGCAGTTTTCAAATGTCACGAGAATGACACAAGGCCGGAGCATGACTGATGTATGTTCACAGCAAATACAGATTCCATATGAATCTCTTGGGAGACATGTCTGAAAAATATATGCCGACTAAAAAGCTGTTAAGGAATATAAATCAAGAATCATCCCTTCCGGACTTCTGGTCAAGATGGCGGCGTAAGCAAACATGGCTCATCTATTTGCACAACCACATCAAAATTACAACTAAAATATAGAACAACCATTACTCAGAACCATCAGAAACTGTTAAATGGAAGTCTGACAACTAGGGAATTAAAGAAGCCACATCCAGAAGCTCTGTTATACGGTCCCCATGTCTGATGCCTGGGAATGGCACTGATCTCTTAATGGGGACATGTTCTGTGCAAAAGATCGAATAATGACAGTTATAGTTAGTTTCCATAAAACCTGTGACAATGAAATAATCTCAGAATCATGGGCTCTCTCTCCTGTGCTCCAGAAAGCCATACTTTCCCTGACAGGATGTCAGAGCGGGCCGCATGCAAAATGCCACTTAGAACAGGAGAAAAAGCCAGACTTCTCTGAGTTGCCCGCCTCCCTCACCAACAGCCGCAGAAATACATAGGATCAAAGGGAGAGCCCGGGCTGACGCCATTCAAGGCCTCCGCAACACCGATTCGACATTGGAATCGGCCCTTCTGCCGGGCTGATGCGGGGGCCTGGGCTGGTCCCACAGAAGGCGGCCTGCGTGGGGGTGTCATCTGGTGCTGCCCAGGGCCTACCGCCCACAGCTCCGGGGACCCCGTCCCAGTTTCAGCGAATCAGGACACCCTTCGGGAGAAGGGTGGGCACTTACAGCGTCAACGCGTTGCCCTGGCGATGCTTTGGCATCCTGCGCACCACAGACAGAGTTGGGGGCGATGCATGTCTCTCCGTCACCCCTAACAGGTGTCTGCGATGGGCTTCCTCGCAGCCCCCCACCTGCCTGCCGGCCCCTCCTCATGGAGCCCAGCGAGAGCGTTTATTTCCTCTCTCTCACCAGCAAGGCTGCCGGGAACCTCGGCAGAGGCCGCGGGTCCGGGCTCAGAGCCGCGGGCACATTTCAGGGAGGTCTGGGGAAGGTTTGACGCGTTGCTCTGAGAGCCGGAGGGGAGGCGGGGTCTCTGGGGGCTGCCCCGCGGCACAGCAGGGGCTTCGCCTTTCCCAGAGGAATCATTATACCAGAGGGCGGGCGTGCCTGTTCCTTAATAACCAAGACTAGGGTTCAGAGCTACTGCTGTGGCACGCGGGCTTGATGCCGCGAAGGCAGCCTGGGGAGAAATTAGCAGAGTCCTCGATTCCTATTTTGATCAGATTTCAGAAGAAGAAGGGGTGCGTTAGTTTGTGCGAACTTTTCTGTAACCCAAATGTCCACCCTGCTAATTGGTTTTCTCATGTGGGGGCAAGACTTCAATGGCGCAAACATATTCAATGACGATATCTAGCTTTTACTGAGTTATCACTATGAAAAGATAGAACTAAAAGGACCGGAGAGATTTCCCTTAACCCTCTGCCTTTAAAGCTACGTGGAGGGCGGCACGGGGAACCCGAAGATACCTCTCTGCCCAGTACTGCATAATGATTTGAGACACAGCAGGGCCGGCACTCCTGTCCTGGACCCCAAATTTAACGTGTCTGGCGCTAATTGGAAGGGCGAGTGAAGCTCTAAAGAACAGACCCGTTCCTCAGAGCACAGGCCCCTGACCTGCCGCCGGGGCTCTCGGAGGCCTGCAAAGCCAGCGCTCCCGGGACAGCACGGCCGCGACCCCGCCCCGGAGGGCACCTCCTCTCCCGCCTGCTTTTACAGCCTTTGTGCTTGAAGGAGAGCCTTTACCTATGTTGCTAATTATTTCCTGCTGGAAATGGGAGCGGGGCCTTAGATGAGAAAGGAAGAGGGACAGGGTTTGAGTACAAGATGAAAATAAAAGGGTCTTTTCAAGTGCGCAGTTTAAAGTATTTTCTTTTTAAATCAGGTGTCAAGACAAGTAGGGAACCAAGGTCATCGCGAGGGGAGCAGAGGTCAGCTTGGACTTCAGCCAGAACTTCCAAGGGGAGTGTTTATCCCCATCACCTCACACTGCGGTGGGACCCTGGCGACGGCACTGCCTGTGAGCCCTGCGCACCTGAGCCCTGTGCACCTGAGGGCCCTGCGCACCTGAGGGCCCTGCGCACCTGAGCCCCGCACACTTGAGCCCCATGCACCTGATGGCCCTGTACACCTGAGCCCTGCGCACCTGAGGGCCCTGCACACCTGAGCCCTGCACACCTGAAAGCCCTGCACACCCGAGCCCCATGCACCTGAGCCCCGCGCACCTGACAGCCCTGCACACCTGGGCCCCGCGCACCCGAGCCCCGCGCACCTGAGCCCCGCACACCTGACGGCCCTGCACACCTGAGCCCTGCGCACCTGAGGGCCCTGCGCACCTGAGGGCCCTGCGCACCTGAGCCCCGCGCACCTGACAGCCCTGCGCACCTAGGCCCTGCGCACCTGAGGGCCCTGTGCACCTGAGCCCTGTGCACCTGAGGGCCCTGCACACCTTAGCCCTGCGCACCTGAGGGCCCTGCGCACCTGAGGGCCCTGCGCACCTGAGCCCTGCGCACCTGAGGGCCCTGCACACCTTAGCCCTGCACACCTGAGGGCCCTGCGCACCTGAGGGCCCTGCGCACCTGAGCCCTGCGCACCTGAGGGCCCTGCACACCTTAGCCCTGCACACCTGAGGGCCCTGCGCACCTGAGGGCCCTGCGCACCTGAGGGCCCTGCGCACCTGAGGGCCCTGCACACCTGAGGGCCCTGCGCACCTGAGCCCTGTGCACCTGAGGGCCCTGCACACCTTAGCCCTGCACACCTGAGGGCCCTGCGCACCTGAGGGCCCTGCGCACCTGAGGGCCCTGCACACCTGAGGGCCCTGCGCACCTGAGGGCCCTGCGCACCTGAGCCCCGTGCACCTGAGGGCCCTGCACACCTGAGCCCTGCGCACCTGAGGGCCCTGCACACCTGAGGGCCCTGCACACCTGAGGGCCCTGCGCACCTGAGCCCCCTGTGCACCTGAGCCCCGCGCACCTGACGGCCCTGCACACCTAGGCCCTGCGCACCTAGGGCCCTGTGCACCTGAGCCCTGCGCATCTGAGGGCCCTGCGCACCTGAGCCCTGCGCATCTGAGGGCCCTGCGCACCTAAGCCCCGCACACCTGAGCCCCATGCACCTGATGGCCCTGCACACCTGAGCCCTGCGCACCTGAGGGCCCTGCACACCTGAGCCCCGCACACCTGAGGGCCCTGCACACCTGAGGGCCCTGCGCACCTGAGCCCCGCGCACCTGAGCCCCGCGTACCTGACGGCCCTGCACACCTGAGCCCTGTGCACCTGAGCCCCGCACACCCGAGGGCCCTGCGCACCCGAGGGCCCTGCACACCTGAGGGCCCTGCACACCTGAGCCGGGGGCACCTGGGGGCCCCACGCCCCTTAGGGCCCCGCGCACCGGAGCCCTCTCTGTGCCGTCCGATTCACCGCCCAGGAGGGGGTCCTTCTGGCTGGAGCCGCAAGCTGCCTCCTTCATCCTCCCCACGTGCTCCTTTGTTCACGGATCTGGCGCACTTTCGGGGCCATCGTGTGTCTTACAAAATACTTCCCTTTTCCGCCTGCCCCGCCCCTGGGGGCCAACGTCCTCAGACCACACAAGCCTCCCGCCACAGAGACTCCCCGAAGTGCAGGCACGGGGAGCGTGGCTCGGCCTCCTCCCACTTCCTGTGCCTGGGCGCTCCCCGCAGCCTGAGGCTCGCCCGCATCCGGGACCAGAGAGGACGGAGGAAGTCGGGGTGCGGGAGGGCGCCCCCAGGAGGCGCGCCAGCTCGGACCGCAGGCCGTGGAGGGGAGTCTGAGGACCTGGCCGAGGCGGGCCTGCCAGCCGCTCACGGTCCAGGGCCTGCCTAACCGTCCGGCCGCCACAAATCCTTACCAGGTGGCGCCGGACCCTGTCGTCACAGGACTTCGGTTCTGGGTCTCACCCCTCCCAGGGCCGACAATGACGTGGAACGAGGCGAGGCCGGCTCTTCGCCCGGCCCCCTGGGAAAAGTCCTGGGGGCTGCCCCTTCGTCCCTGTGCCGAGCCACAGGATTCCAAGCCCCGCCAACGTGGGGGCCCTGTCCCTCGGTGGCGGCGGGACCTGCACAACCTGACATTTTCCGATCCAACGATGGGAGGCATCAATGACCGACCATTCTTCCTCGACACGGGGGCAGCCTGGGCATCCCCGCCCACGACAGCGTCCCCTCAGCTGGCGCCCGGGGGGAGACCCGGCGGCCTGCGAGGCGCGCCGGCAGGGCGGGGGCTGGACTCACCTCCGGAGTGGGCGGGCGGCCCGCACAGCAGCACCATCCCCTGACCTTGGCGGACCGACACGGTGCTCCGCGTTCTCGTCTTGAAGTTCTCCAGATCTGTTGGCAAAAACCAGAGAAACGGGGTTTAACACGTGAAGCCCTAGGGCGCCAGGGGAGAGCGCCACGTCCTCCGCCAGAGGCCTTCGCTGCGAGCCGGCCTCCGGTCCCCGCCCCGGGCGGGTGCAGTCAGCCCCCTCCCACGGGACCTCGTCCCGCCGTCCGCGGTTCCACGTCCACGCTGCAGGGCGGCCGCGCGCCCCGGGGCCCTGTTTAGGGGTGAAGCACCTAAAACGAAGCAGGATCTACGACTCAGTTCCTCAGCCACGTTAGCCGCCCAAAGGCACATGTGGCTCCTGGCCGCCATGCTGGACGGCAAGGACAGAACGTCTCCATCATTCTAGAATATTCTATGGGACGGTCTTGGTCTGGGTGAAGAACCTGAAGCCTGAGGATGTTCAGCAACCTCCTCTTTGTAGTCAAACAGCATTATCGGGATGTAAGTTTACATTTTCTGATACGCAGCTCTGCTCGCTGAACAAACCATTCTGTTATAATGACTGTGCCTGTCACTCTGTGTGTATCTAGAGCAGGATTCTATACACGCACACACTATTCACAGTGTACAAACAGACATACACACTCATATACAACAGTTTAACACCCACGTGTAGTTTTAAGCATTTATAAGGCACTGTCTTCAGGTTCCGTCTGCAAGGACGGTCCCCTCCCTCCAGGAGGGCGGGTCTGGGGACACCACGGACCCCAGACCACAGCTGCAGTCACCTCATGACCAGCTGCTGCTAGAAGCAAGTTCACGTAAGAAATAGGCCGATGAAATGACATGTTATTGTTAAGAACAGTTTTTATTCCACCCTCTTCAATTTAAACCCTCTTGAGGAGTGTTTGAAGTGTCTTCTCATGTTTTGCTGCGTGAGACATTCGATTTAACAGCGTTTGTTCGGTTTGAGGTGCGGGCGACGCCCGGCGTGTGCTGGCCGGCTGCCCGCTGGCTCACTGTGCGCGGCCAACCCTGACCCCGTCTCCCTCCCACGCCCGGCCGCGTGGCCGAGCGTTCCGTGAGGAGGATCTCTGGCCATCCTAACAGCGGTGCTCTGAGTTCAGTAGAGCCACTGTCCCCGTTTTGCAGACTGGAAAAGAGAGGCCCCGCGGCCCTTGTCGGGGTTAAAGGCTGCGTCGTGAGGGAAGGGGAGGGAGGGGCCCGGGCGCGGCAGCCGCAGGTGCCGTGTGCCGCACGCAGCCTGGGTTGTAGGGGCGGTTCAGGGCAGTAAAGCAGCTGTGCGCACACATGCCACGGTTCCTGGCTTCTTCTGGGTTTAAGAAAATTTTAAGCCCCTGCATCAGTGTTTTCACGAATTAAGTATTTCTAAAACTCTCATTAAACATCATCTGGTTGCCTGCTCAGGGTAAGCGTGTTGTGAGAACGCAGCTCCTGCCCTGAAGGGGCTCGAGGTTGGCGGGCAGGGCTGGCCGGTGACGCCCGATCCCGGGCCCCCAGAGGCCACCGGAGCTGAGGCGTGAGAGGGGCCGGGAGGTCACGGGCGTAGCGCCCAGCGGAGCCAGGCTGGAACGCAAACCACGCTGCTGGTGGAACGAACCACTTTTTATTCAATGGGAACCCGGTGGGGCTAGGGCATGAATTTTTCTTCTCTTTAAGGAGATGGTTTGAGAGACCTCTGGAGGAGATTAAACCGGAGATTTTAAAAACTTTATTACGGCATTAATAGTGTAAACCGTTCTCCCTGAGAGTGACACCGAATAAGTCTGAATTGTCACTTCTGCGTGCAGGTTCTTAGAATGAGCCATCTGCCTCGGCACAGACGTCCCATCCAGTCTCCAGAGTTGCATGAGAAATTAGGAGCTGATGGATAACAGGGATCAAAATATCCGCCACAGCTCTGACGGGAGAAAAAGCATCAAAAATGAGACAGAAGATGAGAACTACGTGCAGTGATTTTTAACTCCCCGATTAGCGGAAACGCGGGCCTCCGGTCCCCTCCTGTCTCGTTTTTAACTCCATGAAGCTCTCGGCAAGACTCGGGCAGGCAGGATATGGCACATTCATCCCGTGGCGGAGGAAATATCTCGACATCTTTCTTAGTTAATTGAAATGGATTCTAAATGCTGGGCCCGCCCCGCCGGGCGGACAGCAAGCCCGCGTTTAGATGGATCTGCTTGGAAACTGTCTGTCACGTGCAGGCGCGCTGTTGACCTCAGGCTAGCCTCGCTCCCCCGTAAGCGAGGATGAACGCGCCCTGTTTCAAAACAAGAACGATGGAAGAAGGTTCTGTGGGATCGGGGTTTGAAAAGCCCGCGCCCTTTCGGGCCGCGAGCGCAGTGCTCAGCATCTCGCTTTCTGCCCTCCGAGGAGGGCTGGCCGCTCGCGCCGCCCCCGCACGCCTGTCGCTCTGTTTAGGAAGGTCCTGACCCGCGGTGCGGCCGGGCGAGGGCTGGCGGCGCCGATCCTGGGGCACGGCGTTCACGCCCAGGCCTCAGGGAAGACTGCGCGTCCAACACTGGCCCTCCGTCTGGGGCTCCCCGCCCAGATGCTCGTGGCTGGCCGCGTACCGCGTGTCCTAATCACAGGACTCGGTGTGTGGAGGGGTATTTTTGGAAGCGCACAGGCCAGGCCCTTTTCAGTTATTTCCACATATTACTTCGTTTAGAGCCATTCTGCCTCCAAAGCCCAGGCACTAGGAGACGGTCGGCAGAAAGGGCACTGTGAGGGAGAGCACATTACGGACCCGGTTCTCTCGCCGTGACCACGGCACTCTCGGCTGGGACAGCGTCTGTTTGCAAAATAGACCGAGGTCACCCCCGGAGCCAAGCCCTCCTCACGGAGATCTAACTGAACCCCGAGTTCCCGACCTGCAGCGGTGCAGGGAGGTCGCTCTCACACCTGGGCATGGCCGCAGGAAGGCCCGCCCCGTCTCTCTCCCTTCCAGGCGGCCCTCTCCGGGCCCGGAGCCTGCCACCGCCCCGCTGATTCGGTGAAGCCAGAGGAAGGGGCATCCAGACTGGGACCCATCACCCAGCATCCTGAAGGCGGCAGAAGGGCTTCTGGGAGTGAATTTTATGCTCTTCTATGACAGCGTGAGAAAAGGCACACATCTGTGCACAGTGCGCAGAGCCAGGGCATCTGCTTCCAAATTTCCCAGTCCTTGCTCTTCCCGCGGCGAGCCCTCCGTGTGGGGACGTTCCCGGGGGGGCGGAGGATGAAGCTGAACCATGACACCTGGGTCCCCTCCCCTTGGCTTCCGAGCAGCTGGAGCCTAACGAAACGGCCGCATGCGTGTCGGACAGGAGCTAACGCCCAGGCACCGCGGCGTCTCCGAGCGGCTCGCTTCCTGGCTGGGCCTGCGTCCCGCTGACACAGGAGGGGCCGACTTTAGAAAATGAACGGCGATGCTTTTTGTGCGGATGCCCTCCATCAGCACCTCACCTGCATCTCCCCCAGAAATCGCGTGCCAGGGAACGCACCATTTTGAGGTAAATGTGTTCTCCAATCCTGATTTCCCGTGAAATCCACTGTTCTTTATTTTCCCCTGGAATGTAATATCAGCACTTTAATGTAAATGAGATTAGAAAATACGCCTTGGTGCTTGGAGTGTGTAGCTCACGGACGGCCTGGAGAAAGTGTTTAGCAGTTAAATTCCCTGGGGAGAAAAGTTTACAAAGGGCTTAAAGCTGCAATGTGTGATCAATAATAAAAAGCCCTTCATCCAGGGAAACGTGAATTCAGACTGTGGAGAAAGGAAGGCAGAGAGGGGGTGGGGAACCGCAACGTCTTGCCTGGAACATTACTAAGCGTTTAGAGTGGAGGAAGCGGTCGCTCAGGCTGAATGCCCAGGTGTCGAAGCCTGAGGGTCCGAGACAGTTTTGAGATGTGATAACAGTGAATTGAAGAGGGACTTATTTAGGCCTTCAGTAAGGGGGCTCCCAGCACGCGGAAGAGCGACGCCACCCGCAGGCGGCCCCGCCCGGGGAAGGGAGAAAAGAGGAAACGTGACCCAGTGAGCCAGGCAAGCAATACACGTCTTCCTAGGCAGGCGTTATTTATTGTAAGTAAAAACAAACACACACACACACACACACACACACAATTCACCTTCCCCCTCACCTGCGTGGGCCTGGATTCTATTTCCTATTATTCCCCCAGGAGGGACTCAGGACAAGACGTCCAGCGCTATCTCCTCTGTCCCTGTCTCCTCCCGACTGCGAACGCATCATCAAGGAAATCAGAGTCAGCTTGGAACACGGTCACACGATGCACTTGCTGTGAATATGACTTTTGTAATGATGGCCGCACCGTTTACAAAGCGGAGGCGGGTTTTCGGGCACGGCTTTGGACCCGCTGGCGATCCGCACCCTCCTCCTCACGTCCCGGCTCCGCCGTTGGCTCCGAGTATGAGCTCGCGCGGGCGCCCGCTGCCCCGTCGCCTGGATCCCAGAGACTCGCACAGAAAGTAAGTCTAGGTTTACACGACCGTCGCCTGCGAAGCCCCGTTGCTGCCATTCCGCCCAGGTCAGGAGGGCAGAGGCCGTGGGGGGGCGGGGCGGCGGGGCGGGCTGGGGCCCCTGTGGGACAGTGCGCAGGGAGAGGGCCCTGGGGACCTGGTGACACACGGCTCGGCGTCCCAGGAACCGAGAACAACCCCCGCACTCACGCTCCAGCCGCACGTCGGGGGCGAGTCTCCAAGCCTCTGAGAACGTCCCTGTCCTCGTCTCCAGTATCAGGATGGCGGCTCCCGTCTCCCTGGGGCTCTTGGACGGTGAGGATCCCGCGTGCCCGGCACCCAAGGCCCGGCCGCTCCAGGGCTCGTTAAGGCTTCGGAGCATCGAGGAAAGTCTACGGAGAGCGACGCGGGGGAAGCTGGCGAGTCCACACTCCCGCCAGGCCCAGCGCGTCCGCAGGGGCTGCTAGGGGAGGGATGCTGCCTTCCTTCCCTGTCCTCGTGTGTTTTCAAGTCTGCGTCGGGGCTGGAGTCAGCGGCGGGGCCCGCGATTAAGACCCCCTCGCGCCGACCGGCTGGCGTCGC